TTTTTTTTTTTTTTAAAAAAAAAACTTGATAAATGTCATTGGCCATCATCACTATCACTCATTATTCTCTTATTTATTTATTTTTAATTTGGCATCTTAAAAAATAAAGTACAAAAGGAGAGGTGCTTGGGTTAAAAATCATTGGCCAACTTCTAACACTTGCACAGCCTACTAATTGGCCGAGCTGCGTGATCTCTGGGAAAAAATGCCATGAAACCACGCAGTGTGTCGTTGCTTATCAGCTCCCGCTTTTGACTTCCACAACCTCTCTGCATACTCTGCTTGCTTTGGTCTTCGTCTCTCTCTCCAAACCCATGTCTGCTGCGCAAGACCTCGACCAAATAATGGAATAGGGTTTCTCTATTCTTTCCCAGGTAAACAGATTCTTCAACTCAAATTCCCGAAGTTTCAGTCTTTATTTCCTCAATTTTCACCATAATCCAATTGGGTTTCTTCAATATTCTGAATTTCAATACCATGGATCCGGGTTTTTCTCAATTACCCAGTTCAAGTCTCAGTTCTGGTGACCAGACCCTTTCACCCAATTTCAGTGAGTACCCAAGTAGTGACCCTTTTGTAGATCTTAGCTTTTTGGACCAAAATCCCCGTAACTCTGCTCTGTCACCGAGCTTGAGCCCTGAGGGAGATGACAGTGATTACTCTGATAGCGTGCTCAAGTACATAAACCAGGTGCTTATGGAGGAGGACATGGTGACAAAACCTTGTATGTTCCATGACCCTTTGGCTGTCCAAGCCGCTGAGAAATCTCTTTATGAGGTTCTTGGTGAAAAGTACCCACCTTCCCCAGACCAACACCCTCTTAATATTGAGAGCCCAGATTGTCCTTTTTCTGTAACTTTCAGTGACTTTAGTGCCATTAACAGTTCTAGTTCTAGTACTAGCCATTCGGTCGATTCTCGGTGGAGTAATGCTGATGTTATTGAGAATAAGCCCTCTATATTGGAAACCCCAATTCCTGATAACTTTGTTTTCCAGTCCACTTCAAAACCTAGGTCTCAATTGTCGTCGAATGGGTTGGTGGGTTCTTACATGAGTGAGCTTATGGTTTCTAATTTGTTTAGTGAGAGTGAATTGGTTTTGCAATTTAACAGAGGGGTAGAGGAGGCCAGTAAGTTTCTTCCTAGAGGTCAGTTGATTGTTGATATAGAGAACAACAAGCCCTATACAGTGGCAAGTGGAAAGGCTGAAGATGTGGTGGTTAAGACCGAGAAGGATGATATCGAGCTTTTGGCTACAAGTTCAAGAGGAAAGAAAAGTCATGAGAGGGAGGATACAGATTTGGAGGATGGGAGGAGCAACAAGCAATCTGCGGTTTATCTGGAGGATACGGAGGCTGAGCTATCAGAGATTTTTGATAAGGTGCTGCTCTGTGGTGGGGGGAAAGCAGAGCCTTTTTTGTGTGGAGGTGAAGAAATATGTCACGATGAAGCAAACAAGGCCCTGCATGTTGGAACTGGAAATGGGAAGACTCGTGCCAAGAAAAAGGGCGATAAGAAGGAAGTGGTTGACTTAAGGACTCTTCTGATCTTATGTGCGCAAGCTGTTTCTGCTGATGATCGTAGGACTGCTAATGAGCTACTAAAGCAGATTAGGCAGCACTCTTCCCCATTTGGTGATGGCTCTCAGAGGTTGGCCCATTGCTTTGCAAATGGCCTTGAAGCACGGTTGGCTGGCACTGGAACTCAGATATATACTGCTCTATCTTCTAAAAGAACGTCAGCTGCTGATATGCTGAAGGCTTACCAAACTTATATTGCAGCCTGCCCCTTCACGAAGGTTGCGATAATCTTTGCAAATCATATGATTTCGAAATTAGCTGAGAATGCAGAAGCACTTCATATTATAGATTTCGGCATCCTTTATGGTTTTCAATGGCCTGCTCTCATCCATTGCCTCTCAAGAAGAGCTGGGGGGCCTCCAAAGCTACGCATTACTGGAATAGAGCTTCCCCAAAGTGGTTTTCGGCCTGAAGAAAGAGTCCAAGAGACAGGGCATCGGTTAGCAAAGTATTGTGAGCGACATAATGTTCCTTTTGAGTACACTGCCATAGCAAAGAAATGGGAAACCATCCAAATTGAGGAACTCAAAGTTACAAGAGATGAAGTGGTTGCTGTGAATTGTCTGTTCCGGTTTAAGAACCTACTTGATGAGACAGTTGCGGTTAATAGTCCAAGGGATGCTGTTCTAAATTTAATTAGGAGGATGAATCCTGATATTTTTGTCCATAGCATTATTAACGGATCCTACCATGCCCCCTTCTTCGTCACACGCTTCAGGGAGGCACTGTTCCACTTCTCTGCAATGTTTGATATGTCTGATACCAATTTACCTCGTGAAGATCCGATGAGATTGATGTTTGAGGAAGAGTTCCTTGGACGTGAGGTTGTGAACACAATAGCTTGCGAGGGTTCTGAGAGAGTTGTGAGGCCTGAGACATATAAGCAGTGGCAGGTTCGGAACATGAGGGCTGGGTTCAAACAGCTGCCATTGGACCGTGAACTCATGAACAAATTAAGGACGAAAGTGAAACTGGGGTACCACCGTGATTTTGTGGTTGATGAAGACGGTAACTGGATGCTGCAAGGATGGAAGGGCAGGATTATCTACGGTTCCTCCTGTTGGGTACCATCTAGGACTTGAAATGCATGTTTGTTAGAACTGACATACACAAATAGGCAGGTACCAGTACTGTCCAACCTTAAATGTAACCATGTATGTTTGGGAGCTTGGACAACCGGAAATTAACTGCTGTAGTTCTATTTAGATAGGTAGATAGTATTGCATTTTGCACCACCACTGTCTAGGTGACATTGTGCTGGCTAGGTTTTCGTAATTTCTAGTCTGTTAGTTTCACCTGGACTTGCCTGGAGTCAGAATCCTCCACTGTATATAGACCATTTGGGGTAGATCAGCAGGCGCCTCCTATGTAGCTTATATGTAGTCGATGAAAAAAAAAAAGGTTGATGCAATGATCTTGCATTGCCATAACTCTATTAGAAAGATGGTTCATGAACTATTGTAATGTTGAACTTTCTAGTTTTCTTTTCATGTTGAAACTTTCCTTCGACTGAAGTCTGAACACAACTTTTACTTTTTGCAATGCCAGCTTCATCAACTTGAAAAGAGAAAAAGAGGACAAAATTTGAAAATAAAAGGGAAAGAGAGATTAGGTGATGACCAATGTAATTTGTATCCGTCAGCTCCTTTCTCTTTCAGGCACATAGAGAAAGTTATGATGAACGCAGGCCTTTGAACTTTCCAAGAAAGTTGACTGGTATATGAACAGCAGAGCAGAAAATCTGCATATTTTGGACTGCACTGCACGCAGACTAAAATGATGAGATAATCTCAATAGGTCATCTCATCAAAATAGTCTAACAAACCTTTTCTAAAAGACAGAAAGATTTTATAGGAAAAAACAGATACAACACAGCCCAACAACGTGGCTGAGCAGAATAGCTCTGATAAATAAAGCAACCCGACTGCATACAAACAGAGCAATGCAATAACAAAACAAAGAGGCGCAGACCGCCCTCCCAAAGATCCTATGCCCGTCAATAAGGACTCTGACATAAGAGTTATCCTAGCATCCACTGCTCACTCTAGCGTTGAATGAATGTTAGTCGTTCTTGGACGCGTCTGGACAACTGATAGGAAATATGCTAGTGAGAAGGTTTGAACGGTGTTCAATGTATTTGTCATTAACACAATAATTTTGTGCTATTTGTTAATTAATCATGGTTTGCTTTGAGAAATAAGTGAAAGAGATAACGGTGGGGAGAGGGATACTTTTGAAATGCGCGTGCTTGAATGCGAGAGAGTGAAAGTGACAGTGAGAAGAAACAAGAACGTCTAGAATGCTTGCGGTCCCCTCTCTCTTGTTTTCAAATTGCAAGTTGTCTTGAGGTCCAATCACTTCACAGTTCACACGAGATACCAAATTAATTGAATCTTTTCTTTTCCCTTAAGTAGTACTAAACTAAACTAGCCTAAATAAAGAAAATCCAAGAGGACACTAATAAACCTCATTTCAACAAAAAGGAATATTTTATACATCTTTAGTTTTATTATTCAACCCAAAATCATTAAAAATATTATCAGATTCTCAATATGCGATTTCAGTTAAAAGTCGAGTAATGCTAAGACAAAGAGAGAAGCCAATTACATTTGGCACGTTATGTAAGGCAAGAATTAATTTAGACATGAACGTATAGAAACTTTACCAGACAAAACCTAATACGAATTGACTCTGGAACAATATTAAACTTTCAATTATGTGACGGTACATCCAATCCAGACGTGCTCATAACTTCCGAGGTTTCCGGTCCACCATGCTATTCTATTAGTGTTACTGGCTGAAGAAGGAACAAATAAAAACCACATTTGTGAATAAAAAAGGAATCAGGTGGCACGAATTCTGATCAAATTCTTGTGGCCCAAACCAAAACATGAGCAGATAGATGGGTAAAGAAGCGAAATCTGTTTTTTCTTATCTTAAAATAATTAGTGGCAACGTTAATCAATGCATGATGTGGACCCCCACTGTTTTGTATTATTGATCCAGCTCTGTTTTCCACTTGATTAGCTCACACTGATCACTAATTTTAATGTTATTTAAGAAAATTGATTACTTAATTAAGTGGACTATTAGATTCTTGCTCTTCAAGAATACCAACCACATCCCCATGGACTTTTTTTAGAGATAAGAGGCTTGGTTCTCAAGTTATGTTGAGCAACCGGTGGCTTTCAGATGCCCGGTAGACTTGAGCTTGTTTGACCTTGTCAATTTGGCAAAGTCGTCCCAACCTGAAATCAAAAATCTCATGTTGGATATTCTTCAACTGCGTGAAAGTCAACCTCAGCCTCTCCGGGTGTCTGGAGTCTGGAAGATTTGTTCAAGTGTTACACCCAAAATGAACATGGATTGTCACTAAACTAAATGCTCATCAGTTTCATAATTTAGGTTTGATTTCTACTAAATCATCTTTGGCGGAGCAAGACCGGGTAAATTTTCTCAATGAGCCCGATTACCATGATATGAAAACCATACTAACATAATTGATCATTGCATGGTTTTTGTTCTTCATATTCATATTCGTGACTCTTGTACTTAATTTGAAGAATCGCTCAATATTATTCAATATGTAAATTTTTTATATATGATTATTTAAGATGTATTGATTGACTAATTGTAAATTCTTTTGGGTGTTATTAAACGAATCTTAAAATTAATTGAATAAACCCTAATATTTAAATTAAAATGTAAAATTAACTAAGTACACCCTACTTAACTACCAAAAATACCCCTGATACACCTTAATAAACTCTATCACACAACACTAATCCATCGAAATTAAGTTATTAATAATAAAAAAATTCCTCTAAAGTTAGTTAACAATTTTCAATTTACTGTCCCAATAACGATCATTAAACTTACTTTTATTTGAAAATCCGTTAAGAATTTAGCAAAGCAAAGAACCAAAATCGAGCAGCTTTACTATTGTGGTGAAAAACATAGCTGAGGAAAATCCTGCAGATGGAGACGTAATCAAGGAGCATGGCACGGCAACATCAAACGACCACTCAGCTGTGGAAGACTCTCAAAACAACCAACAAGATACAAGCAAGAGCAAGGAGGATGGCACCAAAACAGTTCCATATTTACAAGCTTTTCCCCTGTGCTGAATCCTTGGAGTACCTGTTAATTAATGTATGTTCAGTGCTATTGGGAATAATAAGGTTGTGTGTTGAATATTCTGAGAGTAGGGTGTATTTATTAAAATATTATATTTATTTTACAATTCAATATATATATTTTAATTATTTTATAACATTAGTAATTTAATAAATAATTTAATAATAACATGTATTCAGTTAATTTTAAGATTCGGTTAACATCACTCTTTTTAAATAAAAAAAAACAAATTATAGCCTTATCAACTAAGAGAAAAGGGGGTTTCCCACTATGGCTGGACGCCGTTGTCGACAGATTGTAATTCTTTTTCGTTTTTCTTCATCTGTATCATTACGTATGAAAAGAAAAGATGAAAATGTAACAGAGAAAGAATGGGACAAAATCGACGGTTGCATAGTCAAACACGTGCAAGACCAGATGGCAGACAGCAGATTGGTTTACCCGGTAACAAAAGAACCTCAGGACTCCCTGACTGACACATGCCCAAGTCCCATTTCATCTCATAAAGCGGCGTTCCCAGAAAGTTCGTGACTCTCTCTCTGCCTTGCTTATTATATAAGGCACAAAACTCCCCCTCCAAGGTCTAGTTTTCCCCAAGGTTGTCCCTTTTCAGTCCCAAACCAAATCTCTACGCTCTTCTTCAAGGTACGCTACACCCCCTCTCTTCAACTTCTTTGTCTTCCTTTTCAGTAAAGGTTCGTTCTTTGCTTAATCTTGTAGCTTGAACTTAAAACCCTTTGCTTCTTCCTGAGCAAAAATCTGATGGGTTTTTGAGCTTCTTCAATCTACTTTGTTTAATTCTTTCCTTCTCATGTTGTGTCTGAGATTTTAGCTTGAATTTTCATCACTCCCTTTCTTTTTTGGTGGTGTTTTTAAGTTTAAGAGGGGTTTAGACTTTTTAGAGTTAAGAGTTTCCTTGTGATTATGGATCCAACTATCAATGGAGTCCCTGATTACACGAATGGTTTCAATATTGATGCCCATCCCTTCTTACCCAATTCAACTCAATTCCCAAATCTCACAAATGAATACCAATTTAACCAGCTCTCTCCGGATCTTAACTTTTTGGATAATCATTTTTCACTTCCATCACCTGATTTAGAACCTGGTAATTTTGTTCCTTCAATTAGTGTGAGCTCAGATGGAGAGTCATTTGTTCCATATACTAGTTTGAGTCCAGATGGAGACTCATTTGCTCCTCCCATGACTACTGTGAGCCCCGGAGGAGACTCTTCCTCTGATGACACTGACTTCTCTGAAACTGTTTTCAAGTTCATAAATCAGATTCTTATGGAAGAGAACATAGAGAAAAAACCCTGCATGTTCTATGATCCATTGGGTCTTCGTGTGACTGAGAAATCGTTCTATGATGCCCTTGGTCAAAAGTACCCTTCTTCACCTAATCAGCAACCCCTTTATATTGATCAAAATGTTGAGAGTCCCGATGGTAATTTTTCTGGAAACTGTAGTGATTGTAGTGGTAGTAATAGTAGTGCTAGTCCTGGTACTAGCAACTCGGTTGATCCTCCATGGCTTGGATATCCGGTAGACCAAAAACCCTTTTTGTCACAAACTTCCCTTCCCAATGACCACACTTTCCAGTTTAATTCACATCCCAATTCACAGTTGTCTGTTCCTCCGACAAACGACCTGACTAGTTTTGGAGACGAGCTGCATGTTGACAATGCACTGCAGGGCTCTTCTGTAAATGAGTTTCTGGCTCAGAATATATTTACAGATAGTGAATCTATCTTGCAGTTCAATAGAGGGTTAGAGGAAGCTAGTAAGTTCCTTCCAAAAGATAATCAGTTGATTATTAATCTGGAAAGCAACACAACGTATCCAGAAGTGAAACGACATGCTCCGACAGTTATTGTCAAGAAGGAAAAGAGTGAGAGGAAGAACTCACCTAATGGGTCAAGGGGAAGGAAGAATCATGAGCGGGGAGATGTTGCCCCTGAAGAAGAGAGGAGTAGCAAGCAGTCTGCAGTTTATATACAAGAGAGTGAATTATCTGAGATGTTCGACAAGGTGTTGCTTTGCACTGGAGGAAATAATGAGTCTCCATGTGACAATGTTGCTTTTCAGAATGAAGCAAGCCAGGCTTTGCAGCCAAATGGACATCCACAAGAGTCTAATGGTAATGGTGGGAAAGCTCGTGCTAAGAAACAGGGAAAGAAGAAGGAAACTGTCGATTTAAGGAATCTCCTGATTTTATGTGCACAGGCTGTGTCTAGCAATGATTTTAGGACCACTAGTGAACTACTAAAGCAGGTTAGGCAGCACTCTTCTCCTAATGGCGATGGATCTCAAAGGGTGGCTCACTTTTTTGCAAATGCTCTAGAGGCTCGTATGGCTGGTACTGGCACTGGAACACAGATTTTTTATGCTTCCCTTGCTTCCAAAAGGACAGCAGTGGTTGATACTTTGAAAGCTTACCAAGTTCATCTTTCAGCTTGCCCTTTCAAGAAAATATCAATTTTCTTCAAAAACAAGATGATTTTGAAGATGGCTGAGAAAGCAACAACCCTTCATATTGTGGATTTTGGTATCCTCTATGGTTTTCAGTGGCCAATCCTTATCCAGCATCTTTCGAAGAGACCTGGTGGACCTCCCAAGCTACGCATAACGGGGATAGAGATTCCCGAACCTGGGTTTCGTCCAGCAGATTGGATTGAAGAGACTGGACGCCGCCTGGCGAAATATTGTGAGCGTTTTAATGTACCTTTTGAGTATAATGCCATAGCATCACAGAATTGGGAATCTATCAAACTAGAGGATCTCAAGACTGAAAGGAATGAGGTACTTGCTGTGAATTGTATGTTACGGTTCAAGAACCTACTTGAAGACACAGTTGAAGTGAACTGTCCAAGGGATTCCGTTCTAAAACTAATCAGAAGGATGAAACCAGATATTTTTGTCCATACCATTGTCAATGGTTCCTACAATGCCCCTTTCTTTGTCACTCGATTTCGGGAGGCTCTCTTCCACTTCTCTGCCCTGTATGATGCGTTTGATATTAATATAGCCCGTGACAATGAAGAGAGGTTGATGTTTGAGAGAGAGTTCTATGGCCGGGAGGCTATGAATGCAATAGCATGTGAGGGCTTAGAAAGGGTTGAGAGGCCTGAGACATACAAGCAGTGGCAGGTTCGTTGTACAAGGGCTGGTTTGCGGCCGCTGCCATTGGACCAAGATCTGCTGAAGATCTTTAAGGGTAAGGTGAAGGCATGGTACCACAAAGATTTTGTAATTGATCAAGACAGTGATTGGATGCTTCAAGGATGGAAGGGTCGAATTGTCTATGCTTCTTCTTGTTGGGTTCCAGCATAGGAATCTTGTAAAGCATGCCTGTTTGAATTTCTTTGAGAATTGTGATGCAAGGGTGTCTGATAAAATGCCCTTCCTCCTTTCTTTTTGGATTTGTAATCAAATGAAATTCCGCCTTTCTTGATTTGCTTTCCATCAGTAGTTGTAATAGGGGGAAATTTTCATTCTGAATCTTGTACAGTCTTTTGCGAAGTCTTGTGTTTGTTGTATCAGATGTTTCAAGAAGTGGCATTACGGAATTCATTATATATTGCATGTTCATTTGTCTTCTATTGATCAGTTGTTTTGTTCTCAAGTTTTCTGTTGTGTTGCTCATAGTTTTTTTTTTTGGGTATGAATAGCATCTCTACTTTATTGTGCTATTGCATAAAATTACTTCCAGAATTTCTGAATTTACTTCCAAAGCTACTGACTCTCTGACTATCTTTGAAAGGGGGTTCGTAATCCTTGTGAAATTTTCTCGGATGTTTGTTACAGACAGTTGTGGTTCTGATTTATTGGTCTCTGTTCTTGTTTTCACTCTCATACTAAAATCTTCTCACTGAAACTCACTGAGCATTTGCCACTCTTTTCTTTGAACCTTTTGGTCATTGTCTCAAAATGTTGCAACATTAGGCGTACCGTCAATTTTGTCAAAATTCATGTCGTGCGATTTTGAAGGGGGTAATTTTGTCACTCCACTTATTGTCTTCCTCCTCTCGTCTAGTTTTAATGGATGCCGCAGGTGCATTGGTTGCTCTAGATAAGATATGTGTGAGAGATTTAGGCCCTCCTCCGTAGGAGCCCAGACTGTCATTTTCTGTCATTTGTTGTTAGTTATGGGAAATATTTTCTTGGCAACTTGGAGATAGGTTGCCCCCACCTGTACTATAAAGTTGGTGAAACAATATATTTTCTTGGCATGTTGTATTTTCTGATTGACAATTAATTCAAGCTCAACAGAAGATGAAGAAAAAGCTATATATTTTCTGAGAAAGCAATTTTTTCTGAGAGAGAACTGAGATGACCCACACCTACGGAGATGATGATGTTCAGTGTTCACCAACGCACGTTTATTTGCTTGTGCAGTGGGAGACTTCCATTCAAAACGTTCTCTTTTGTTCTAATAACAGTGTAAAACTCTTCTTGTGCATTGCTAATAACATTTTCAAAGGACCAGCTAAATGATGCTCTTTAACTAAAATCATGTTGGTTTTCGTAGATATATCTGTTAGCCACACATTAATATGAAACCTGTATAGCCAATCTTTGTGGTTGAAACAAGTAATTAACCCCTTTACTTATGGAGAAAATGGAACTGGTATTAATTGGTCCATGAAAGAGCTTTCTCCTCCAAGATATAGTTTTGTCTAAAAAAGTCTCTTGGCATAGGAATTTGTTTCTTCTCTAAGCAGCTGGTCTTTCGTTATGCAGAAATATACACCACTTGAAGGAAGATCAAACTTAGTCCAAACTGCATGGGCTTTAATGGGTTTAATACATGCTCAACAGGTCAGTTCATGATATAAAACTTTCTTAGCTAATTTCATTCATCTTGCATTCTCACTTCTTTCTTAAAAGAAAAAAATGTAGTAGGCAGAAAGAGACCCTGTGCCGCTATACCGCGCTGCGAAGCTGTTAATCTCGTCTCGGATGGAGACCGGTGGGTTCCCTCAACAGGTAACTTTCTAAACTTCTAGCTCATTAGTTTCTTAGAAGGAAAATAAGTAAATATATAAGTAAAGATTATTGCTAGAATATGAATGCTGATGCCTAATTCAGCTTCCATTTTCTCAGAAAATGACTTGCATGGAAATGACAGGTGCTTTCTATAAAAATTGCATGTAACAATACTTTCCCGTTAATGGCTCTTGCAGAATACTCTGCATGCATGTTCTCCACTGCCTTCTAGAGGTGTTTAATTAATATACAACCCAAGATTAAGTCCACAAAATTATTTAAGATAAGTAAATATAATTAATTATAATTTATTAAGTAATTTATGAAATTAATTAAAATACTTAAATACTAATTATTCATTCCATAAAGTATAATTAAAATATAATTAATAATTAATATAATTAAATAAGACTAAGATATTACTTAATTTCAAATATTTAACTAAACAAACTAATTTTGTATGATAAAAAACTCCACAAAATAATTTAAAATAATTAATTACTATTTATTAAGTAATTTATGAAATTAGTAAAATATTTAAATACTAATTACTCACTAAAGAAATAATAAATAAAATATAATTACTAATTAAAGTAATTATAAAAAGGCTATAAGTAAAAACCATTTTGTGTAGTATAGCCGAGCAGCTATACTTAAATATTCGTATATATTAATATATTTTGAAAGTGTAACGCAGCTATACTACTTAAATATATACGAAGAAAAACAAGGAGGAATTGCAACTCCTATAATAACAGGAGAATGATAGATAATGGAGAAGATGAACCAAATTCATATGTGGATCAATAAGCAAAACAAGGAGATCACTTAACCAATAGGTCTTCTGACAACAAACCACATGTTAAAATCTACCTCAAGGTACACTCAACTAGCTAGGTTTAGATCCGGTTATGTCGCATTAACTGTATATTGAGATCGAAATTCTAATTATAAAACCTATTCTTTTAAAAATATATTAATATTTAACAAGTATAGCCGCGCGGCTATACTATTTAAATATTAATATTGAGATCGAAATTCTAATTATAAAACCTATTCTTTTAAAAATATATTAATATTTAACAAGTATAGCCGCGCAGCTATACTATTTAAATATTAATATATTTAGTATAGCCGAGCGACTATACTATTAAAGTATATAGCAGTGCGGCTATACTAAATATATTTATATTTAAGCCTTTTTTAATTACTTTAATTAGTAATTATTATTGCTTTAGTGAATAATTAGTATTTAAATAGTAATTAAGTATTTTAAATTATTTTGTGAACTTTTAAAAAAAAAAATTTATATGAAAAATTAGTTTGTTTAGTTTAATATTTGCAATTAAGTAATATCTTAGCCTTATTTAATTATATTAATGAGTTTTTATTTAATAAATAATAAATAATTAAGTATTTTAATTAATTTCATAAATTAATTAATAAATCATAATTAATTATATTTACTTATCTTAAATATGGACTTTAAAATTATTTTCAATTTCCTTAAAAATAATATCAATTATTAGATTTTTTTTAGTATTCCAAAAATAGATTTGATTAAAATTACTTTTAATTTCTGAATATATTTTAAAAAGGATGGTGAGGGTTAAAGTAGTGATGGTAGATGCTCTAATGAATTTAGATTATTTCCACGCAAAAAAGTGATGAGTTTAAATTTCCTTCCATAAGAAAAACAGAACAAATAGCCCCCAATATAGAAAGTCTCATCAATGTTGCGGTGGAAACCAACTTTTGTTGTTTAAAATTGTAGAGTTTGATGAATCTTGGTCCACTATAAGACAATTCTCTTTTTATTGTTGTTGGAGAAATACAATTCACTTTTTTGACTAATTGAGCCGCTAGTCACTGTCCAAACTACATCACCCATTTTTGTTTTTGACTTGTTTACATTTAATTTAGAGAGCTGCTTCTGCTTTTGTCTTTGTCCACCGGATGCTTTCTGTACAAGTAATTAACCTGGTGTCTTGTCCTTCGAGAATTTGAATGACCATGCTCTCTGTATAAAACCAACTTCCTTGGACAACAATTTTCGGTGAACGTCTCAATCTTAAAGATGGTCTTATTTGGACCTCCCAGCAGGAAAATTCAAATGGAAGGTGATTTAATATATATATATATGCTCATCCTGTCAATGGGTTCCACGTCTACCACACCACCACAGTAGTGGTGGCGGCTTCCCCTTCCCCTTCCCCTCATGGCACCCAGGATCGAAATCTGGTTACAAATTTAAATTAAGAGGAAGACTATGATTTCAAATAAATGATCTTCACACGTTCACTAAAAACTAGTAATCTAGAAAAAAGATTTGGGTTTGAGAAAGAGTTGAGTTGACCTTGAAATTCTATGTAATTAACATCACATTGAAAAGAATTTCATCAAGCAAAACAACTAATTTATAGCTAAAATGTTAATTAATTATAATCAAATAAACAAGTCGTACAGAATAATATTGGTCAGTGTATCTTAGCAAGAATAAAAAGAAAAAGAAAAAGAAAACCACAATTGCAAGGGGAAGACTAAAACAAGCTGGGGACTTGTCAAAGTTATAATAGAACCAACATGTGATGTTTTACTTTTATTTAGTACCTAAACAGTAGTTTGATTTAGGGGATAAGCATGAGAAGAGAGGAAATGCTATAATTATATATATATATATATATATTCACATAGTCAATGTACAGTCTTACCGACATCAATTTGAACAGACAACTATGACAACTATAATGGGAACTCAAAAAAAAATAGTTAATTGATTTGAGAACTTTGTCGGTTTGTTTGTGGTGTACATCTTGAATGGATGGTCCTCTTGAATCTTCCACAAACTTGAAAACACTAGATGTCAAAACTTCATTGGTTATCCTATGTAGTTTTTCTTTTTGTCATAATCCTACGTGTTTTGTAACAGGAAAGTGGCGGCTGGCTTTGTCCCGCTTCAACAAGGCCTTCCCAGAAGGGTCATTGCTATGAAGATGGATCTCCTCCAGCTTCCGTTTTTCTCAGAGGAAAAGCATATTATCCCATGCATATACACGCCCAGAGTCCATTAAAGCTGTCTGGTAATTATGATTTTCTTCAGGTCTGAGGTACTCTGCTATATTTCTTAATTATTCCAGACGTTTCTGCATTTTATTCAATCATTTTCAATAGTCATCACATGAGATTCCAATATTCATTTCAATTTGCTTTCTATTCCAAAATTTCATATCACAGTTGGGTTTCTTGAAAAATTAAGAATCTGACCAGGTAAATTGGTTGATAGATTGTTTCTATGGATACCCGTCGTGAAAGATATTATCTTTCCATGGAAAGATTTAATTTTGGCCATGGCTCAGCTTCACTCTATTCTAATCAGAATCTTGTAAATGGGTTCCAAGTAAATCAAGAATCCACCAGTCCAATTTGCCTTTCAACCAATTTGGACCACCCTAGTGATTCAAATACTTCTTTGAGCTCTGGTTCAGATGGAGATACTATTGACATTAGTGAGTACAATCGCCCTGTGATTAAGTACATTAGTGATATTCTTCTAGAAGAAGACCTGGAGGGTAAGACCTGCATGTTGCAGGACTGTTTGGCCCTCCAAGCTGCT